AAAGTCCCCATAGCCTCTCCTCCTTTCCTGCTTCTTTCTGTCTTTCTTAGGTCCCGATCAGATGGGTTTTAAGATCCGCGCCAGGCACAAGTGCCTGGTGGATTTAAATTTCATGACCAGACAGCAACATCTGGGAAATGTGTCTGTTCCGTGAGCATCCCGTTTTGCCATGCTTTGGAGCCGTACTTAAAAGATACTAGTTAAAATCTGGAGTTTTTGCTTCCTGACGGGCCAATTGCGGACTTTCCCTCATCTGATCATTTCAGCGCGCAATCTTCCCGTTGGGATGGTCTGACGTCAGCAGGCGCCATTTAAAAAAATTCTTAGCGATATGCGCATAAACGTGTAAATGCAAGACAGCCGCAGAGCTCCGCTCAAACATTCTGGACAATTTCATGTTTCTAAATGGACCGTGAATTTTATGAAATGCATTAATTAAAAGGTACCTAGAGAGAGGTACCACTGGCGATACTTTAATCATTCAACTCGTGCATGCGCAGAAAAGCAAGTTCATGTTGAGGCGTGGATGCACAGGTGGATGCCGTCTAGACAATCCACTGCGGAGTATGCACGCAGTAAGGGGAGCTGTCTGGTCATGCAATGCCGGATAAAAAAGATCGGGATCAAATTAGAGCCGGGCCAATTGCAGTATTAGCTGCCCGTCTGAACGCACCCTAGGATTGCCAACCTGGAGATCAGTTGGAATCACAATGGATTTTCCAAAAAGATCAGTTCCCCTTAGGGTTGCCAGCTCCAAATTGGGAAATTCCTGCAGATTTTCGGGTGGAGGCTTGGGAGGGCAAGGTTTGGGGAGGGAAATAATGTGGTAACGAGCTGTGCTGTCAGGGGTGTGGACTAATATGCTAATGAGTTCCTGCTGTTGGGTGTGGCCTATTATGGTAATGAGTTCCTGCTGGGCTTTTTCTACAAAAAGAGCCCTGGAAGGGGGGACAACATGATTGAGGTTTATAAAATTATGCATAGGGTAGAGAGAACTGACAAAGAGAAATTTTGCTCCTTCTCGCAGAATACTAGAACTTGAAGGCGTCTAATTAAACTGATGGGCAGTATGTTCAGGATAGACAAAAGGAAATACTACTTTACATATAGAGATTAAAATGTGGGATTTGCTGTCAGAGGATGTAGTAATGGCCACAGGAATAAACAGCTTTTAAAAGAGGATTTGATAGATCCATGGAGGATACGTCTGTCAATGGCTACTAGCCATGGCGACTGAGGGGAACCTCCACATTCAGAGGCACTAAGCCTCTGAATCCTAGAGCCAGGAGACACCATCAGGGGAAGGCCTTGGCCTCTATGCCCTGTAGTCGGCTGTCCAGAGGAACTGGTTGGCCACTGTGTGAGACCAGGATGCTGGACTAGATGGACCCTCACTGGTCTGATCCAGCAGGGCTCTTCCTATGTTCTTATGCAGCAAGATGGGGATTTGAACCTGGATCTCCCATATCTTACTCTGAAGCTGTAACCACTACACCACACAGTCTTTCATAGGGTGGCTGCAGCCAGGCCTAGTTGAATCATGCAAGTCGGGTGGTATCAAATCACCCAGAGGCTGCTGCCAAGCCCATGGTTGTCAACTTCCAGGTGGGACCTGGAGACCTCCCAAAGTTACAGCTGAACTTCACAGATCTATCCCCCTGGAGAAAAAGGCTGCTCTGGAGGGTGGACTCTATAGCATTATATCCAGCTGAGGTATCTCCCCTCCCCAAACCCTGCCCTCCTCAGACTCTACCACAAAATCTCCAGGAACTTCCCAGCTGGAGCTGGCAACTCTAGCCAGGCTTCACCACAATGAGTCTTCCCTCACAGGCCAAAATAGGCCTGGAAAAGGGCCCCTCCCCCCTGTCTTTTACTGACAGAATCAAACATTGAATACTGTGGTTGTTTAACAACAGCCAGTGAAGAAATCTGGTGCATAAAGCTACAGGCACTCCTTTAATCATTTTGGGCTTTTTAAAACTCCCCCATTATTATTTTTTTTAAAGATTTTACATTTTAGAAAGATCTGTCTTGAATGTTCAGAGCTTCGGTCACCAGATTTAAGCAATGCTCCATCTAAGCTGTGGGGTCTTGTGAGCAAAAATTCTACTTTGTGAACTACTGGCATTAAAGTTGTGAGCAAGCGATTTGGCTACTGCATAAATTAGTTTGCTCTAGAGCTATCCCTCCTGAGCTAAGACAAAAATGTGTGAGCTTGATCCTAAAAATCTGTGAGCTAGCTCACACTAACTCAGCCTAAAGGGAGCACTGGATTTAAGTATCCAAAGATTTGGCCGATTTGGCTATTAGTATATAGACAAGTGCAGACCTGCAAGGAACTTGCGGAGAGGGTGCATCCCTCTCCCCCTTTGCTTCTGAAATATTCTGGGTTCAACACACGGTTGTAAATCAAATCAAAACTAAGACAAACTAGCAGGACCGAAGCCCTGCTTAAATCCATGCACAACACCACATCCCACACTACCTGTGATAGGCTATTTACAGTGCGGCTCCTGGTCTATAGGTTCCTTCCAGGATCCTAGCTCACTATTGTTCTTGGTATCAAGCTAGGTTGGTCGATGCCGGGCCCGGGACATAACACCCCTCCCCCTAAAGTTCAGAACCCCCCCAGCACACATAGTCTCTCAAGTATGCAGGTCTGCGTTGTTCGTGGTTTGAGCGATGCGGTTCTGTCAGCGGGGCCGGGGTTTCTGGCTCCGATCCCGATGGAGCAGCCGGGGTGCTTGGGGGAGTCAGCATTTCCAGCGCGACCTCGGGGCTGTCCATGGCTGCTTGTTCCAGCGTTACTTCTGCGGGTCCCTCTGGTTGTTCACTGGCTGTGGGTCGCGCGCTAGTGGCTGGGACCCTCCTCTCGGCCTCCGGCTCCTGTAGGCCTGGCAGCTCCGTGTCATCCTTGTCTGGGGTCGGTGAAGGCAGACCTGGCTCAGCTGGGAGGAGACGGCGGCGGAGCTGGTCAGTGTTCCTCTGAAGTACTTGATCTCCATTGGTTGACACCTCATAAGACAGGGGGCCGGTGACTCAGATGACCTTGGCCGGGATCCACGTGGGGCCACTGGAGAAGTTCCAGGCGTAGATGGGGTCGCTTGGGAAGACCTTGTGGGGTGCTGATTGGTTCTTGGGGGCCGCATGGTGCTCTGCAGCGTGGTCTGGGTGCATCCAGTCTAGTCGGGTGGTGAGGCATTATCCCATGAGGAGCACC